GCTCTGACCGCTACTTCTTCTTTTCTACTGAAGAACTTTTAACCCGAAGTCCTTACTCGAGGCTCACACCACCCAACTCCCCCTTGGAACCAGATGAAACCAGGATATAAGTGCCTGTTTCTGGGGAGGAGATTCAAAACCTCTTCTCTGCAGAGGAAAAAGGAGAAAAGAAAAGAAAAAATAAAAAGATTATCCGCTTTTCAAAACTTCTGTGGTGCCAGGGTTGAGGATGGGGAAATAGCCATTGGGCGGGGTGGGGGGGTGTGGCTGCTTTTGAGACATTTTACAGATTGGCAGGTCAGTTTGCCAAGTTTTAATGCACAGAAAACCTAGGAAATCAGGCAGAATTTTACTGGCCAGATGGCATCTGCCTTAGGTGATTTAAAAAAAAGTGGTCTCTCCCACTCACCTTCTTTTTTATTTATTTTTTTGGGGGGCCGCCTGGAAGGCAAACACCCTACCTGCTGTACTATCTCTCCCGGCCCCTACTCACACCACATGCCTTCACTATCCCCTTCCTTCTTTCCTACCTCTGTGCTCACGGCAAGAAAAAGAAAAAATAATAAGTGTTTGTATTTTTCTTAAAAAGATGCTGAAATAAACTCAGAGGTGTTTTGTTGCCACGATTCTGACTTTTGACATCTACCATGAACACAAGTAGCTTCAGTTTAAACCAAGACTCGAGGTTCCGTGTAGTTTGGCTTGGCTCAGCACCCCCACAACCTCGACCCAAGAGGAGAATCCCCCAGGTCTAAAACTTTGCAGATAAGCGTGTTCTTTATTTAGGCACGTGGGCAAAGAGAACTTCGAGTTTGTCATGGTTAGTTGGCAGGGGGTTAAAGCCGTGTAATCCATTTCCGATGGTGCCGGTTTGACAGCTGCATTGGACAGTCTGTTTCACTGCCTGTTTTCCCTTGTACTCCGTTTCCTTGCTGTGATAACGATGCTTTTCTCCCTGCAGTTGGACTTGGTTTTTCATTTGACATCATCTGCTCATCCCTGAGGTTTCTCAAAAGACATTTTATTACAAGCCCTATTTGTGTCTCTCCTGGCCCCCATCCCTGGAATCAGTTGTATTAGAACAGGAATGTGGTCGTGGTGTTAATTCCATTGTTTTATGCTATGGGGCAGGTTTTGAAAGAACAATTGAGTCAGTAGCAGAATTGGTTGGCATATGCCCATACGATTTGTTTACTTTGCTTCCTGCTTTGCCATAAAGGAAGAATCTGATTCTCCCCAGTTCCTTAAAGTCAGAAGGGACGGGAGACACTGGAGGAAAAAAAACAAAACAAAACAAAAAAAACCCAAACATTTTTACCCCGAAGGTAGCTGATGACTGTGTCAGGGAGGACTTTGATGCAACCACTGTCCCTACTTATAGACCTTATTTTCCAAGCCTTCATTATTTTATTTGCCCTTTTCTGAACTCTACAATTTCCCTCTCTTGTAGCTGGTTCGATGCCCAGAACTGAACGCTGTGCTCCAGCTGTGGCCTCACCGGTGCTGAATAGAGAGGAAGAGCCACCTTCATAGCTTACATGTGATTCCTCTGCTTATGCAACCCAATACTGGATTTACTTACTTGGGCAAGATAGCTGCACTGTGCACTGTATTTAATGTTCCGTGTGCTGTAACCCTGGGTCTTTCTTTGCATTGCTGCCGTTAACCCCCCCCAGTCCTGACCATCTAAAACCCCTGCCTTTGTTTCCCTGTCCCTCTCCCCCGTAGACACCCATCCATCTGCAGTGGATGTCGCCTTCTTTATTCTCTCGTTTCCTCTCACTCTGACCTTAAGCTCCAGCAAAGCTTTCCCTCTGTCCTAGAAGCCATCAGTTGTCAGCCGTGTTATTTTGTTTCTCCCTGCTTTGGAGCTGGGACCACTTTCCAGTCTTTTCCTGATTCTTTCCCTTTTATAGCCACTACACATTTGGCCCGGGGGTTTAGTAAGCGTCCCCTGACCTTTCTTCCAGTTCAGGTCCCTGCAGCTCCCTCCATGGAGCTGCCCAAGCACGTCCCTCCTGGTACGTTAGTTCTCTCACTCTTGACCCCTGTCCTGTGATTCCTTCTTGGCAGTGTGACCTCACAACTCTTCCCAAAAGGGGAGACAGTAATTTTGCCATGGCCACTTCCAATAGCAAGGAGAGCATCATCTTAAATGCGGAGACAATAATAATTGGAAACAAATTTTCCTTTCCCTGGATCTTAATTTGAAAACACCCGTCCCCACGCCCCTGAGTTTCTGATGAGAAACCTAAAGCTTCTAGACTGTGTGAGGCTCAGGAGGATGGAAGGACAGCCAGGTTTGTGATACTCCACAAAAACTCAAGTGAGGGTCATGTCAGGTTTGGTGTGGTTGGCTGAGGTGGGAGGTGAGACTTCGCTTTCCCCAGATTCCGGTGCATTTCCCTCATCAGATCTAGAGTAGGATTTAAAGGTTTGTTTCTGTAGGACTGTTGACACAGATACACAATTTATTTTTTAATCATATCTTTGGTGAATCATTTTAAGCGTGGAAAGTATAACTAATGATTTCTTTTAGGTGATAAAAATTGGATGGTCTCCTTAAGTTCTTCGTATCCATTTCTGAATTCCCTGAGTTAAGCAAAAGCCTAGTTTTCTTCCAGAAACCATGGAATGGATGTGTCTGAGTCGATACGTCCTACTTAAACGCCCTCCTGTGCAGCTGTAGTCTACACTGAATCCAGAAGTTACCTCTTATGTCTTGACATGAGCTCAAAGAAAAAACTTGAAAGTCTCTTAAACATCTTAGTACGTCAAACTCCTATCCTGGGGATTTAGAAGTGACTGAGTATTTTTCCTGCCGGCCCCTGAGGTACTTTGCATATCAGACTGCCGAAGTTAACCACAGCAGGCCCCAACTACATAGTGAAAGATGGAAGGTCTACTAGGCTTTTCGGATGAAATATAGAATCTGTCTCCGGACTTTCGACAACAGGAACTATTGCTTGGTTTCATGTTTTAATTACAGGAACCCAGTGAAATTTTAGGGCTGTTGGATGGTTTCAAAGAAAGTCAGTCCTTGCCGGATCCTACTGGGATCTGGTGGCGCCCTGCGAAGTGCGACATCTCCTTCAGAGGAGCGTGAGTTCTGAGGAACCCCCAGGCGGGGCCGAGCCGAGGGCCCCTCTCGAGGCCGTAGTGGGCTGTGAGCAGCACCCGGTTTCCATCTCCATTTATGGCAAGAGGCACATGGACAGGGTTCTCCATTTACGGGCCATGCAGAGCTGGAAAGGGGATGGGGTGTTCTCAGGAAGAAAAACTTGACATCGGAAGATAAAAATAAATTGGCAGGAGTCATTTGCAGCCCAAATTCCAACCCCTGCACAGAGGGCAGAGGGCACTGGGAAAGAGGGCTATGTGGGAAATGGAGTGAGATTGGCAGGCATCTGTCTGCCCCATGGGAAGGGTTGCCCATGACACATGGCCCCAGCTCATTGCTGATTGGTCCTAGAAAGTTCTGTGTTCTGTAGTTGTGACTGACCTTTACAAGGAGACAGAAGGATCTATTTTTTTTTTTTTTTTTAGAGAGCCTCTGGCCTGTCTGATGCCAGAAGAGCTCTCAAGAAGGAGAGACTGAGGCAGAAGTGTGTGTATTTAGCGGGTAGGCCGGCGAGGGGTCTTACAAAGATCTTCCATTCTGTGATGTCCTTTTAAGGACTTCTTTTGCTCTTCCAGATTTCTGGCCTCCTGGGACAGATCTGCTAAGTATTTGACAGTGTCACTTTCGGAGTTTGTCGGTTGGAATTTAAAGACGAGAACCGAAAACTAAGAGATGTTTTGATTTGGTGAGAACAAGTAATACTGCCTTATAATGTCACATTTGGACAAAACCAGTGGCCTGGAGAACACGTAAATTAATCAGCGGTGAACTGGTTTTGCCCAGTTGAGTTAGGCAGTTTTGGGGCATCACCGTTAAAAGGGGGTCCTGCCTCAAGAAAATTCTCAAGTGAAATCTGAGGAAGTCGGAGGGAGATTGTTAGAGACTGGATGGAAGAAAATTAAAGTGGGAAGGTGGGCACTGTCCGTATTTGAAATATCATCTCTGGGTGCATCAGGTGTCCGGTGCCCTCAGAAAATGGAGCTAAGGGCGGGACTGCGCTCAGAGACCTCGAAGCTTGCTGAAGAGCTAAGAAACACGCCTGTCCAGGTTCTTTCTGTGGACTTGCATGGTCTCTGTATGCTGAGTGCCACGAGGCAGAAGAATAAGTGACACGGTGGCCCTCCACATCACTTGCCCCTCAGAGAACAGCTTGTTGTCAGCGTGTGGATTTGAGGTGACGGTGCGTGCTGGCTGGATACGCCGGCAGGTATTAGTGTATTGTGTCCTGATGTTGGTGGAGACCCGGGTTGTAGGAGTATTGATTTGACCTCTTACACTTTGGCAGTCACCCCAGAGAAAGTTAGGAAGGAAGACGGAGTGTGTAAGTAAGAGGTTTTACCAGCTAATCCCGTTGAGGCAGCTGTTTCTACCCCGTATTCCTTCTCAGTCACGAGTGAGGAAGGTCATATTCCTTACTTTGGGCAATTCTTCTTTCTGTCCTCCCTCCCCTCACTTTTTTTCCATATTCTGGGCCCCCTAGCAGCTCCTCCCCTTCTGTGGCAGGTGTGCATCCTATTGGCTGGCTGGTATTTTCTTGTTTCCTTTTTTCCTTTTTTTTTTCTTTTTTAATTCCTTTTTTTTAAATGGGGGTGGGGGAGTAAAATATATGTATGGGGTACATGCAATAATGTTGTAATGTTTCTTGTTGTTTAATGGATAATTAATTGCAAAGTAATTGTTTGAATTATAACATGTTTTGAGTAAATGCTAAAACAGTAATTTTTTTCTAATATAATAATGAATTTGAAATATAGCATTTCTGTAACAATGTGTCTCTGTTTGTCTGTCCATGTCTGTCTAATAGTAATTAATATCTGTGGTCCGTACCTGGAAGAGGAAGTACAGCTTTAAAGGAATAACAAAAGACTTTGTGTCTTAGACCCTTCGCAGGTGTTACAGTCGGGTGAAAGAACATGGTGTTGGGAAAAGAAAGAGCAGTTACACATTTGAACAGTTGGAACAGGTGTTTGGTCAGGGAGGATGGGATGCTCAGCCCTGCCAGCCTGTACTTATTAACAGTAGTGGCTTGTACCAGGAGCTGGAGTCAGATGGCAGCACTTTGGAGGAGTATTCACAGGAGGACTGGGGAAACCACAGTCAGGATCTCCATGGCTGTCCAACAGATCAGGAATTGGGTAAGCTGATCCGTGAGTGTGTGTGTGTGTGTGTGTCTCTGTGTCTGTGTCTGTGTCTGTGTGTGCGCGCGCACGCGCACGCTTTTGTCTGTTACATCTTCTGGTCCCCTTCCTGCTGTGTCAGCACAGAGCTCGGCTGCATGGGGCATCAGGTGACAGTGTTTTACTTTCAGTGCGTGATGGTGGTCTTTGGGTGACGTTGCTACCAGCAAGGCTCCTAGAGACAAAGAATCCCCAATTCTGACCCCCAAGAGGAAGCCTGATGGGACAGATGAATCCCTTGCACTTCTCAATAGCCTGGGCCTCCCCATCCCAAGATTACTGCCAAGAGCACCGACTCTTGTTCCAGCGCCTAAGGAAATAACTGTCTCTTCCTTCCTTTGCCCAAATACATGTGCCCTTTTGTTTGTGATTTGGAAAAGTTCCTCTCCCGGTCTGAACCAAAAATCAAGGGAGGCCTGATCTGCTCGTGAACAGAGCTGAGATTCGGGCTTTCCCATGTTCTCGCTCGCTCCTTTGGCTTCCCAGCGGGACCCGGTCCCCTCGGTAACACCATGATTCAGAGGTCGTCTGAGATGTTCAAAACCGTAACTCCTGACTCCCAGAGGTGGACCCAGGCCCAGTGGCGCTGTCTGTGCCCAGGCGAGACGGGCCCATCCCGAGTCCCTGGGGCCTGTCGGGAAATCCTGTCAAGGATGAACACTCACCAGACAGGCCCTGGACACTGTCCCTGCCACTGCTTTAAAAGATTTCAGACGGGCTGGAGAGATAGCACAGCGGGTAGGGCGTTTGTTTTGCACACAGCCAACCCGGGTTCGATTCCCAGCATCCCATATGGTCCCCTGAGCACCGCCAGGATAACTCCTGAGTGCAGAGCCAGGAGTAACCCCTGTGCATCGCCGGGTGTGACCCAAACAGCAAAAAATAAATAAAAAATTAAAAGATTTCAGACAGCCAGTCTGCTTAACCGCTGATTTATAGAGCCCCGAGAGAGTCAAGTCTCTCCAGCCTGCAGGTTGCACCTGGGCACAGTGAGGCAGGTGTTTGTGGTAGTTTTGTTTCTTGGGGCCAAAACGGCTCCCACTTTCCTCTCCAGGACTTGGAAGCGCTAGTCCCGTTTCTGCTGCAGCCCAGGGACCTTGGGCAGCTGTGTATGAGCACTCCGGATTACTGGCTGATGTTTTTTTCTCCCTGGGGGGGGACGCAGGCCAGCCCAGCCCAGCTCTCGGTGACATGGTCACTGTGTGCGGCCTCTCAAAAGCCTAGCAGTGCTGTCCTGCAGAATTCCTCGCAGAGAAATGCTAATTCCCCAAGGAAAGGGTTGAATGCGAATTTGTTTCCTACAAATGCGCTTTTTAGAAACTGCTCTCATCCCAGAAGAGGGAAAGAGAGAGGATAGGCTCTGAGGCCTCCGAGCTTGGAAGACTAGTGGTGGCTTGGCCATCACAGGCCCCCACATGGAACAACGCAGGGGAGATGAGCATGGCCCACAAGCTGCAGTGACACGTGTGTGACTCGCCCCATGTGTTGACATGTTTAAACCTGTAAAAATTACAAGACTAGGATAATAAAGGGGCCAGGCCACTGCCTATTGTTTGTAAAGCATGGTCTGAATCACCATGGCCTCCATAACTCTGGTTTTGCGTGGAGGAGTCAGTCACCCAAACCTTTGGGAGGAAAAATAATATGGAGAGTATTGACTCTGGGAAATAATCATGATAGGAAGCCTCCGTGGAAAATGAATAGGGCAGAATTAGTTTCACTCTTGCTCTTTTAAAAGTCGTGTGTGTGGTGAAATTAAGTTTTAAGCTCCTAGTTAGAAATCCACTGGTGACCTTGAAGAATCGCTTACTTGCCGAGCTGGTGTCTGATCTTGCATATAAATGTTTGCATCTCATTATATGTTATATTTATAAATCCGGCGCTGGGCATTGGGTACTAGAATCAAGTCCCTTGCTGAAAAGTGTAGGGTGACTGGTAAGCATAGGAAGATATAATCGGTTTCCAAAATTTTGCTTTTCAGATGAAATACCTGTCACAAAGAGAGCATTAAAAATAAAACAGGAATCTTCTGAGGAAGCACAGTAAGTAGATGCTTTGCCTTTCTACAAGCATGTTTGGTGAAGTTGAACAACTGTGGGGAGGAGGGGGAGGAGATCCCATGGCCGTTAGAAGGCAGCCCTGGTCACTCGCTGTCCTTTCTGAGCCCTGTTTTCCCTGTGGGTTAAATCTAGAATGTTGAACTTTTTTCCAACAAGAAGTAACTGTTAGATGACCAGTCAGCATACTTCTGGTGTTTGCCCACGTTTGGATGTGGGTATCTGAGTGTGTAAATGGGACAAAGGGCTGTAGCTCTGGCTTTGACCCCTGGAGTTGCAAAAATTAGGTAGCTCTGAAATTGAACCATAGCCCATGGGCGTATGTGAGGGGCAGCCGAAATGATCGGGACACTTGAGTTCATGGTGGTGCACGTCCCTAAACTGATCTGCGTGTTATACCCTTGGAAAGGAAAGCGTTGCTGGAGGCAAGACTGAAAAGGCCCAGGCCAGCGCCCTTGCACTGGTCACATCCCAACCCTCCTCCTAAGGGCTTTGGAGCATGCCTGGCTGTGCTGGGCAAGGTGTGTGGTGCCAGGGCAAACACAGGCCCTCCCACATGAGATGTGCCCCCCACCCCCAACAACCAGTCGCATGCTCTCCTGTAGGACACCAGTTCTCTGTGCCTGAGCTGTGAACTTGTGTTCGTAGCTTCGAAAGACCTCATTTATGCTAAGCGTGGAAGAGTCTGTCGTCAGGGTAACGGAGGGGAAGCGAGGGCACCGTTTTCTCATCTGGAAACCTCCGAGCGCCCCTGATACCACTTGTTCTTGGAGACCACATAGGGTGGCAGTGTGTAGAGTCCCTGGGGAATGCAGGCGGGGAGTCCTTGCTCAGTCCGCCTTTGCATATGCTCTTGACATTCAGCGTGTCTCTTGGAACAGAGAGTTTCCAGTATCAGTGGGCTCCATGTCTGGGGAAGGGGAACATTTAGGGATAAGGATTCCCATCCCTATTCCCCACCCTTTCCATTCCTCAGAGTTTGTGACTCAAATCAGTGAGTTTTAGGCCTTTTCTTGTTGGTGGGTCTTTATTTTTTAATTTTTTTTTTTACAATTGTGAGAGCCAAATACCCCAAAGAAAGAGAAAATAGTATTTTTAAAATGAGTAAAATGAGGGGTGGCAGAAGGGAACCTGGGACATTGGTGGCCGGAAACTGCACTGGTGAAGGGCGGCTGTTGGAGCATTGTATGACTGAAGCCCAATCAGGAACTACCTTGTCACTGTGTAGCTCACTGTGATTCAATTGAAAAAGGGGGCATGGGGGTGCAGTGGGGATGAGTCCATCCCTTCAAATCCCTACGCTCCGAAGAGACTGGTAACTCCTAGAAGCTTAGAGAAGGGCCATTGCTGTCAGGGGGATCAAACTCCATCTTTGCCGATTGTCATAATCTCAGGGTTGGAGGTTGGGAAGTCGGGCAGGAAAAGGCCATGTCTGAGGGACAGTTGGGGTCTCACGGTGCTCCTGGCTTCTAAAAGCTCGTTTGCACCAGGAGCCCGGGAGCATGGGGCTGGGTGGGCAGCAGGTCCGTCGGCCCCCAGAACCAGGCACTGAGCAAGGCTTCCGGGAAGCAGTTATTGGCCCGGCACTGGGCCCTTTGATGGTTAGGCTCCGGTGGGCCAAATAAAACCCCTTCACTTGGGCATAGGTGTGGGGAGGGTCAGTGTGGCAGAACTGAAACAGGCTGGTTCTCATCCGTGACGGAGAGGGAGGGCTCCACCTCCCTCTGACTCCTGAGCAGCCCCTGAGCAGAGGACTTGAAGCAGGAGGCTGAGGAAGGACAGGGGCCACGAGAGGTATTTTTTCTAAAGCGTCCCATGAAGATCAGGCCTTTATCTTAGCCCCACAGCACCGAGTCTGCTCTGAGGAAAGCAGATCTGATCGGGGGAGACTCATCCCAGGGCGGTCTGGGGTGCCAGGAAGCTGCAGTTGACAGTATTAGCTCATGCAGGCATCAGGGCGAGTGCAAGAATGGCTGAGTGGAAGCTTCAAGAAGCTTGTCCCTGGTGGTTCAAGAAGCTTGTCCCTGGAAGGGCTGAGAATTGAAGAGGAATGTTTTAAGGATCCATTCCCTTCCAGGAAGCTGATAGCAAACTCACCTCCCCCCTCTCTCTTCACCTGTGTTTGGTCATACAGGTTTCCCCGCTGAATATTTTTGTAGCTTAACCCTTTAATTGAAGCAGAAATCAGTCATTTGTGCTAAGTTAGTATGTAATTAGCTTCAGACTTCCAGTTATCAAAGCTTTGCCATGCCAGAAAGAACTTGCAGTTTGTATTCTTTGATGTAGATGAACCCTCACGAACTGCCAGTCACGTTTTAATATTGGGAAGCCTGTAAGAGAAGAAATTTCCTGCAGATTCTTACTCTGTTCACTCTCCAAATCCAGATTCAAATGATTTCTCTACCTTCGCTTTTCCTTTATTTATTTATTTATTTTGCTTTTTGGGTCACACCCGGCGATGCTCAGGGGTTACTCCTGACTCATGCACTCAGGAATTGCTCCTGGTGGTGCTCGGGACCATATGGGGTGCTGGGAATCGAACCTGTGTCGGCCATGTTGGCTGCGTGCAAGGCAAATGCCCTACCCGCTGTGCTATCGCTCCAGCCCTGGCTTTTCCTTTATAAAATAGTAATGTCTCATTAGGCTTCGGAAGCCTAAAACTTACCATGGGCCTTGCCTTTTCTGGCCTGAATTCTCAGGGCTTAATTCTGGATTAAATCGGTAGTTCTTTAAATCGTCATCTGAGGAGTGATGGGAGTAGCAAATCATTTCAGACAGAAGAAAATGTCACTTCATTTTTGTATTGGGTCATACGTCACAATCAGTAAGTGACATTGGGTGTCTTTCTGAATAGATAACCTTCATCACGTGCTTAACTGAAGGCCATGATTAACCAATATTAGAACAGTGTTTAAAATATGAATGATCCTTTGAGTTTCTGAATCTTGGGTATATTAGAAGTAACTAAGTTTAATACGTTTAGACCATGAGGGACCAGGTGTTTCTCAGATTTGAGTACTATGGTTATAGCCATCTACACTAGACAGCATGGTATATGACACGGGAGTCACCAGTCCTGTGGGCCCCTTGGAAGCAGTTCCCTAGAAAAAGCCCTCTGTCACTGCTGGCGGCTACCATATTGGGCAGAACAGACCGTGTAGAGCATTTTTGTTTTTGCAGAAAGTCTGTTGGACACTCATGATCTCGACACTTAAGGAATTTAATTTTCGTTTTCTAGGAAGAGAGACATCATGCAGAATATCGTACAGATCTTGGAATCAGTACAGTTAAAATGGGAACTCTTTCAGAGCTGGACGGACTTTTCAAGGCTTCATCTCTCGAATAAACTGGCCATTTTTGGAATTGGTTATAACACTCGTTGGAAAGAGGATATCCGTTATCATTACGCCGAGATCAGCTCCCAGGTGCCCCTGGGCAAACGACTCCGAGAGTACTTCAACTCCGAGAAGCCCGAGGGCCGGATCATCATGACCCGGGTGCAGAAAATGAACTGGAAGAACGTTTACTACAAATTTTTAGAGATCACAATTAGCGAAGCGAGGTGCCTGGAGCTGCACATGGAAATTGACTGGATCCCCATCGCCCACTCCAAGCCCACCGGGGGCAATGTGGTTCAGTACTTACTGCCAGGAGGCATCCCCAAAAGCCCGGGTCTTTATGCCATTGGCTATGAAGAGTGTCACGAGAGACCACCCTCCCCCCATGCGGACCGACGTGCCCTGGACGCAGGGAAGGAGGGCCGGGTGGACCTGGAGCCCCTCCCAGCCCAGGCCTCGTTACAGGTGGAAATGGAAACCGCCCGCATCGTCTATTGCTACCTCGGCATTGCCGAGGTCAGGACTCTCCAGCAATGCCTGTTCTTACATTTCCAAGCAAATACCAAGACCTTCAGCAAAGATTGGGTTGGTATTAATGGGTTTCTGTCTCAGAACTGTCTCGTGGATCCTGGCGTTTCCCCCAAGTCCATCTACATCAAGTTTGTAGAAGTTGAGAGGGATTTTCTTTCCGCCGGCTCTCTAGTCGAGTGCCTGGAAAAAGCCATCGGATACCCCTTAAAATTCAACAACTGAATGTCATCCTTCATAAGGATTTGGGCTCTCACCTCCCTCTCCACTCCCCGTTTCCCTTGACACAGACCGCCCTCATCGGATGCTGCCAACAGACCCTTCACGGGAACTCAGTGCATCGGACCAGAACAGCTTCTAAAGGATCAGCACGGACTGCAGGCAGCAAACAGGACTCGCCCCAAAACGCTTGTTCAGAGCGAGCAGAATACTCTGCAGACTTAGGTGGTGGGCCGGCTGTTTTCCTTTTTTTAAAAAAACAAGACCAATTTTTTAAATGGATTTCAGAGCCCTTATATAAACAAGTGTAGGTACATTCCATATTGGACCAGACTTATACTTTGCGTTTCATATGAAATTGAAAAATTGTATTTTTTTCACAATGTTTCATTTTTACACATCTCTGTCTCTATATAAGTATTATTTACAACCCTGAATAAAATAAGCAATAGACAATGAACACATCCAATCTTAAATCACAGTAAATAAGACTGTTTTTCATACCACCCTTAGCTACTATTGTATATAATCTAGAGTTTCATTTTTTTGCACCAAGTGTTTTGGTATTCCCAATCAGTGTTGCCTGCAAAGACCTTCGTTTCTGTGATGTGCCCGCTTTCTGGTTGTGTTGCCATTTAAACTTTTTATATATTAAAAAAAAAAAAGGAATAGCAAGTAATTCCTGGCCTCTTGACGTGCTCATGGGACTTCTGGGGGCTGAGGTGGCTGTGCTGGCAGGGGGCAGCATGCTCTGACATCACCGCAAAGGACAAGCTTCCTTTTACACGTGTGCAGTATGGGGGAGACACAGTGAGAACTGTTGATCTGTGCAGAGAGTGAGTAGTCGCCACCGCCCCCGGTTCCTCTGTGGCCCCAACACCCTGCTCCTTCCCAGGGGTGACCCAGCTGTGCTCTCTCTCAGGGTCACTGTCATGCACGTGCCAGGTCTCCCTCAGAGGAAGGCCCCGAGGGCCTGTGGGTGCCTTCCCAGTAATGTGCTCTTTTCCTCTCTTGTGGTCCCCCAGTGATCCAGGTTGGCAGCCTGACCTTGGAGAGGGCTCTTCCCCCTGTGCAGCCCCTGAGCCCACCGGCAGCCACTGCAGCATCCTCCCCAGGAGCCTTCTAGAAGGTGTCCACCAGTGCCAGTGCAACCTATATTGACTCCAGGGACTGGAGAGATGGTACAGTGGGTAGGGCACTTCTGGCATGTGGCCAGCCTGAGTCTGATCCCTGGCACCACATAGGATTCTCCGAGCTCCGCCAGGAGGGATCCTGAGCATTGCCGGGTGTAGCCAAAAAAAAAAAAAAAAAACATAAACTGGGGTGCTGGAGCAATAGCATAGTGGGTAAGGCGTTTGCCTTGCAAGCAGCCAACCCGGATTCGATTCCCAGCATCCTATATGGTCCCCTGAGCACTGCCAGGGGTAATTCCTGAGTGCAAAGCCAGGAGTAACCCCTGTGCATCCCCAGATGTGACCCAAAAGGCAAAACAAAAAACCAAAAAATATATATATTAAAAAAAAAATAAACTGCAGGTTGTTGCACCTTGTTGCAGTATGGGCACTCTGGGCTCCTGAGGTTTCGGGGTGGAGGACAGGGTCTGGGGCTCCCTCCTGGCTCTGCTGCACTGGCTTGGGCAGTGCTGCAAGTGTCAGGACTCTGTGAGCACATTCTGCACCTCGAATGCCAACAAGGGTCAGCTTTGGATAGGTCTCCCCGGAACCCCAGGTAAAGCTTCACTGGGGAGAGGGATCAGGGTGGTCAGTCGCCCCTAGCCCGGCAGAAGGAGAGGGGGAGAGGGATCAGAGCAGGTCAGTCGCCCCTACCTTGGGTGCTCATCTTAGCCAAGGTCCAGCTCTTTTCCCCCTACTCCTACGCCCCTAATGATGTTCACTGTCTCCAGCGTGCCTGGTATGGACACTGGCCAGGTCACAAATTCTAACCTGACCTTTGTCCATCCAGGCTTTGTGGGTAATAATGACTCCTCCACTGGGGGGACCAGCACTGAGCATCGTTCACCAGCTCCCTGCCAGAAAGACCATGGACACTGCCCAGTTCCTTTTTGCAGGAAGCTGACCCACCTGCGAGGCACTTGGTGCTGACCTCTTGGGAGTCAGAATGTAAGTCTGTTTGCTGGTGTCCCCCCTCTGTACTGCTGCGCTTGCCTTGGGCTCAGAGCAACCCCTCACCCCCACTTGCATTTCTTGTAGATCACTTGACAGTTCCTCCCGGGGTTATAGGGCGCTTGGGGGTCACACCTGGCAATGCCAAGGATTAATCTTAGGCCTCCTGTGTGCTAACTGCACGCTAGCTGTTGATCTATCTCCGTGGCTTTTTTTTTTTTTTTTGGTTTGTTTTAATTTTGTGGCCACACCCGGCAATGCTCAGGGATTTGTTCTGGCTCTGCACTCAGGAATTACTTCTGGCAGGTCTTAGGGCACCACATGGAACGCCAGGGATTGAACCCGGCCGCGTGCAAAGCAAATCCATTGTGCTATTGCTTTGACAATCCCCCAATTTGTGGGGGTGCATGTTTGGGCCACACCTGGTGGCGTTCAGGGCTTACTCCTGGTGGGCTCATGGGACCATATGGGGTGCCTGGTATTGAACCTGGGTCTGCAGCATGCAAGGGAAAAGCCCTCCCTGTTCTGCTACTGCTCCACTCCGCCCTTTTTAAAAATGACCCTGAGCACTTGAATTTGAGCTGAGACTCCTCCCCCACACTCAAACACCAGGACTCTTCCTTCTGTACAGGTAAGCAATTCATGTCAGCTCCTGCCTCAGAAATAGAAAACAGGATCTAAGGAAACATCCAGAACCTCATAGGGGTGACAGGGTAGAGGTCTGGCTTTCACTTTTGGCACAGACTTCCGCAAAGCAGTGGAGTCATTCTGCTAACTTCTACCCCTTGGCTGCTCAGAGTCAGGAGGAAGAAGTGGTTGGATTAGGTGAAAAGTTTTTGCTCAGGGCCCTGAGACTTGTTGGGTCTGCCCCTCTCGTGGGCACATCACTGCCCTGCTTAGTGGCAGCTTTATTTCCATGTTAAAGGAAAAATTAGTTACAAGGGAGAGTGGACGCTGTGCCATATTTGGCTCTCGGGGATGAGCACAGACTGCCGGCTTACATGATCTGAGATTCAGCCAAGACTGTACAACCTTCAGAGTTACTGCATGAGGTGATTTAGCTCTGATCTGGGGATAAAGGAGGGACACTTACCAGAACCTAGTCTCCTTGGAAAGATAGTACAGTGGGTAAGGCTCGTACTTGCCTTGCATGTGGCTGACCATGGTTGGATCCCTGGCACTGCCCATTGTCCCCTCCCCCCTCAAGGAATGTAGAATAAAGCCAAGAAATAGCAATACAAAGAACACCAAACCCTCAGACACACACACACACACACACACCATACGCGTACTCTGCAATTCCAAGTGCATGAGGTAGTGAGCCTGTTAGTGACCTCCTCCTGTCGCCTCTGCTGCCGCTGAGCTGCCAAATATCAGATTCCAGGGTCCGCATGAGCGGCATTTTGCAAAGCCGCTGCATGGCAGGTATTTGAGTTGCTGCCAAGAAGACCCAGGTGCGCCCGGACACGCTGCGCGGAGCCACGGGAGTCCAGAGGGGCCGGGCTGTGCTTCCCGAGCTGTGCTTCCCGTGCTGGCCACGCCGAGCGAGCAGCGCCAGAAATTGGTCCTGCCTTCTGCCATGGGCGACCATTGGCCACTGCCCGGGGCATGCAGTGTCTGGCCGTCGTCGGAGCATCCGCCAGGTGCGCGCGGGACTGAACAGGTGCGCGCGCTCGCCGAGCGGGCCGCCAGGGGGCGCGCGGGAGGCCCTGTGCCCGCCGGCCCGGAGGGCAGTTAAGCAAATCTCGCCCCCCGGATCCAGGCCCGGACCTTAAAGGATAGAAGCGGACCATGGAGGAAGCGGCCGGCGCGGAGTCGAGGGGGGTCGAGTGCCGCCGGCGGAGCCCCAGACGCCGCGCTTTCCCGAGCAGCGTAGCTGGGCGCCGGACTCAGTTTCCCTTCCAGCTTCCCGGATCTGCTGGTGCCCGGACGACAAGAATCGAGACCCCGGAGCTCCTGGATGTGAGGACGATCCTACACCTGCCAAGACCGACCCCAAGGCGTCGCGGTGGACCCCAAGACGTCGCGGTGGACGAGGCATGCGCTCTTCCCGCGGGGATCCTCCCCGGGCAGCGTCGGGGCTGGACCGCATCCGCGGGCTCCTGACTCGGACCCGCGGCCCCTCCGGACGGCTCGGTGGGTTTTCTGGCTGGGAAAAGCCGGAATTTCGGCTCACAGAGCGACTGCGACCCGGGCCCAGCAGCGCTGCTCTTCCTCCTCCAGGAAGGTCGCGGGATCTGGGATGGGGGACAGCGGAGGTCACGCTTCGAGTCCCCGTCAGAGGCCCTATCGGAGACCAGATTTGGGGATGTCCCTGATGCCCACCCCGCTGGCTGGGGTCCCCGAGACCCCGCGGGCCGCCCGCTCGGAGCTCCCAGCCCGCCGGGCAGCGCCACCCCGCGGCTGGCCCGCGCGTCCCGTCCGAGCCCGGCCACCTCTCCGCCCCGCGCACGCCCCGCCCCTGTCCCCGGAGGTCCCCACCCGATACCGGCACGCACACGTACTGACTCTGCCGCTAGCCGCCCGACGCGCCGGGTGTCCCCGCTCCTGCGGCCGCACCCGCCGCCAGGCAGCCTCAGCACCTGCGCTCGGGACGTCCTGAGCCGCTGGCACCCGCGACTGTCGGGCTAGCGGAGGGCCATGGGTTTCCTGCCCCGGACCGCGGCCACCAGCTTGCTGCGGTGTTTCTTCCTGGGACTGAGCGCGCTTGGTGAGTGACCCCCGGACCTGGGCCGCGTGGGACTACGGTGGGAAGAAAGGGAGAGATTCGGGACACTGTCGGAGGGGGGAACAGTGTGGGTTGGGACTCAGCCCTCCCCCACCCCGGGGCCATCCGTGTTTACTGAGAACTCTGTCCCCGCTATGTCCCGGACAGCAGCGTGGGGAGCTCGGGTGGGGTGGGCATCTCTGCCCACCATCCTTCACCCCGCACCCACCGCCAGCCCGCAGAGCTCAGGCGCTGAGCCGCTAGATGAGACACTGGCTAAAGAGCTTAAGGACTTAACTCGGGCCCTCCTGGCTCCCCATCTACACACTGATGACCAGGAGTGTCCCCCCCGCTCCCATGCCCTGTCCCCAGGCTGGACATGCGGACTTCATGTCGGTTTCCCAGCCCAGATTCTCCTCCTGCTTCCTGCCAAGGAATCAGGGAGGGGCCCGGAGCTCAACCGTGAGGTCATTTGGGACACAGGAAATGGGGGAAGGATATGAAGGCCTGAAGAACAGAATTGTGACCCCCCCCACCACTCAAGGCCCACCACCCCCTATTGCTAGCCAGAGGACAAAGGGAATTAGCAGGAGGGCCTTTGGCAGGAGTGGGGCAGTGCTGTCTAGGGTGGATGTGGAGCTGAATGGTCAGCAGGTTCACTCCCCCTCCCCCGACATCCCCAAGGCCTTCTCATTTCCCTCCTCAGGGTTCCCAGGTGAGGCTGAAGGTTTCTTATCCAGTTGGCAAAGAGAGCCTGGAAGAAGCCAGAGGGGTTCAGCATGAGAGTGGGGACTGAGCTAGTCCCATCCCCTGCTCCTTTAGCTGTGTGGGGGTG